AGGGATAATAAAGTCGTGTAGCTCAGTTTCGCGACACTCGATGCCGACCCACACTGCAACACATGGCGACTAGGACAGCTCCGCAAGGACTTTAGAGATTTTAAGTAATAGAGGCTGTTACAACAGTGGCGACGCGAGTTTCAATCGAACCCAGAATGGCAGTCAGCTCCGAACAAACGAAGGCCTTTTTTGCAGCAGTTCGAAAAGTCACAGAGGCAGTTGATCGAACTGCTATCACAAAAATTAAACATTCAAGTAGAGTGGGAATTAGAACTGAAGCTGATGACATCGTAAGAAATTGTTTCAGAATGTCAGAGGTTGCTAAACTGGAATCCTGGTACAAATGTGGCCGCAAATACGGAATCCAGGGAAGAGCAACACTTATGCCACATTGCCACTTCAAAAGCTGATGTGCCCACCAGACCTGAGGATGGTAGGGTGGAAATCAATCGCAGTCAGATTACGCAACTGAATAGACGCCACGAAGCAAAACTCCAACCTGGTCCAGAATGTTGCAGGATCACTAATGCTGGCCTGAACCTTAAGTCAGCCACTAAAACAGTATCAGAAAAGCATTGCCGTTATCATGCAGGGGAAAAGCGGACACACAGTGTGCGTCATTATAAATTGGGAACATGGTGTACGCACGAAACTTCCGAGGACCGAGGAGGCGGTCGACAGGAACAGTGATCCACAGAATCGGTTGGCTCATCTGCGAGCTAATGATAGGAAATGAGAAATGGGTCAGGCACGCCAATCAGCTGAGGTCGAATCACGGTAAGGCTCAAAGTCCCTCAGAAACACCATGGGATATTCTGCTAGACATGTTTTGTTTGGAAGACGAAGCTGAGCAGCTACGTGGATCACAACATAAGATGCAAGCAGCAGATGACGCACAATGCAGGCCAACCAGAAACCGAAGACGACCACCTTGGCCGCAAGTTGATCCCAAAGCGAAAACCTACGAACAAAGTCGAGTTCGAACGGTACGCTGGCATACGCAATTCGAAAGGGGTAATAGAGGCGTTAGCGGAGCACGTAGGCTGTCCGGTAAATGCAATGCAATGGGCGTGCTGCGACCTTTGACCATTCCGCTGAAGTTGGGCATCGAATGAGGATTGATTGGCCAGCAAATACCAGCACGCGTCAAAGGAATCGAACGATTCCCTCAAGATGATAAAGCCGTGGAGCGGAACTCGCTCACTGGCTGAAAATCAGACACAGAAGAGTGAGTGATGACCTCCTAAATCAGTATGTTTCGTTCACCACTAGAGTTAACTTATCTTGTAGATTTACTCTCTGCCTACCAAGTGCTGTGCTTTCGTATTCCTTCGGTTGGGTAGGCGCGTGCCTTAGCAGTCAGACAGTCGCAGGCTTACAGGGCAACAAAGCAGCAGTAAAACAGTTAGCAGTGGCAGAGATCAGAGGGAAAAAAGGAAGCATTACAACATAAAGCGGAATAGATTTGCTGTAGTGTTGTGAACATAGGCTCCCTGCAGATCCACAAGCTGCAGCAGACGAAACCTATAAAAATATTCAACGATACGTTGATATCCTCGCAGCACACTTGCAGAGGTGCAATAGGAAAGCTTCTAAAAAGTATTTCACATGAAAAACGGCCTCTGCGTAAACAAAAATAACGACTTGCAGCAGTAGGCCAATAATGCTATGCTGTGTTTGATGGAGTCTTGATAGTCTGCACTGATACAATAATGGAGCAGCTGAATAGATTGGCCCACACAAAATACGCGAAGGCCTATAGAATGACAGGGGACAACTGGATCGCCGCTTGTCTGCTTCATCATCTATAGTCCAAGTGATCGAATTGCCCATGATTTAGTTCAGTGGGAATCGCGGTCCACATTGAGATGGCGCATCGTAACCCATTTTCAAAACTAGTGCTTAACCACGACCCTACAGTGCTAGGTAACATTTGTTTAAGTCATGGTAGACTACGCGATTTGGAAGTCTGACTTTTCAATAGTCACGTAGCTACACAGGTTCATGTGTAAAGTCAGAAGCACATAATCTACGAAAAGACAGATAAGGAGATATGGCGATACTCAGTGACCGCCTTTGATCGAGGTTCACGATCAAGAGAAGAGTTTTCAGTGGCACTGGCTGATTACAGAATTCGGTTACGTTAGCATGACTGCAATGTAGTCCGAACATCGGCCAGTCGACTTACTCCTCATTTCTTGCAATTGAATTGCTGATTTCTCGCGTAAAATCTCATGTGTTCCAAAAAGGTTTGCAAAAGGTCCATTTTTTTTGGTAAAGTGTTCAAGGTTGTTTGCAAAATGTCCAAAGTTGTTTGCAAAATGCCCAACTTAAAGTCAAAATGATACATAGCGCTTATACTCTCAAATATATGCATCCTAATCATGAAATGTGAGATAATTCCTAATCAATGGAAAGTTTACTATGCAGCCTAGACATAAGAGTTGTTCAAAACTTCAAAAATTACCACCCAATTAGAAATACACCGATTATTTCAAAAATAATGGAAAAATGGTGAAAAAGAAAATGGTCAGGCACTTGTCATTACATTTGATATACCAAGCAAAATATAGATTCTTGAAAAAGTACTCTTTTCAGATTTGTCCGCTTGCATTTTAAAATAATCTGACAAGCCCCGGCGAGATAAACAAATCTGCTTTCAGCGATATGGAGAAAATCTTTGACAGTACGACAACCTATTGGAGAAGTTAAAAAGTTTCCTAGTCGCCGATCTCTTGCATGCATGTTTCAAATCCTGCTTCACTGGCTGCATGCAACAGATTCAAATAGAGTGTACTAAATCCTCGCACCTGAATGTCAACATCGGAGTGATCCGAGATAGTGTGTTGGGTTCTTTGCTCTTCCTAACGTATATCATTGATACAGTGAACCAGTAACATTTTGTGCATAAAGTATCACTGTAGACGATATAAAAATACAATCTCCGACGCTCGAACAACACTCTGAATAACGTTCGCATAGACTTACTGGCTTTGGAAAAAGTCTCTCCTAAAGACAAATGAAGTGTGTTAAAACGCTACTGTGAACATCCTTTCGATGCCGTTTACCTATGCCGGAAACTTATCCCCCAAAAGAATATCAGATGTGATCTAGGCATCTGTAAGACTAGCAAGCTGAATTTCGGTGAGCAAGTGGAATTCATAGCGGTCGGATCACGAAGAAGTGCTAAACTTGTCTCTAAATCATTGGTGAGGTGTGAATCTGTTGAATACTGCCTCTTGAATACGTCAGGTACTAACAATGTGACACCAACTCTCCTAGACGGATGACGAACGAGACTCAGAATTATTTCTCGCACGGCACGGTAACGGACAGTCTCGAAGTCTGTGGGTTCTCGGAACTTAGCCGCGAAAGATTAATTCACGCGAGTCGAACGGGTTCCTAGACCGAACGTAAAAGTTCTACGCACGATTTCCCAACCCAAGACTGAAGCAAGAACAAGACAGGCCTTTGCCACAGGCGCTTTTACTGGCCAAAGCTAAGGCGATTCTAGCGTTGTACAGCCTCATTTTTATATCACGAAACGGTGGTGAAGGGGGGGGTTTCCTTGGAAGGGTTTGCGTAAACAAACCCTGGAAACAAGAAACATGGTTTTATGTAAATGTGCAAAGTCCGTAAACTGAGCAGAAATGTTGGAAGTTTGGCGAGAGTTGCCCGGAAAAATGAATGTTGCTTGGATACAACAATGCGTGTTTGGTTGGAAACAAGACTGTTTCTGGGTGCAAAGGCTAAACAATGTGCATGTTACACGAGTTGGAAGGCTGATTGAACGTGTGCGTTTTGTCTGCTCTGAGTACACGTGCACTTGAGTGAATCGGGTTTTCAGCCTTCCGTAATTTAAGCCTTTAATAATTATAGGGACGTTGGGTCCCCATAACAGAATCTAAGCTGTGCTTATTTGTCACATGCATTGGCCCAGCGCGGAATGGTTATTTTTTACAAGCGGCGGAAACGCAACCGCATGTGTCTAACGTGCAGGGTTCATTCACTAAGACTCTCTTCAACCTCTAGTCCAAACGAAACTACTCCAAGCATTGTAAGATGCTGAAATTGAAACCGTTGTGACAGACGGATAAAGCTAGGCTCTAGGCTACAAACGTGTATTTGCATCAAATATTACCATCCATTTCAAGCAAGAAGGTAGGTAGGCAACTAAGAATAACAAGTATCCACTCCGAAAGTTGTCTACCTAATCAGATACACCGAAATCTGGTATAGCTTCACTGTTGAAATAAGAGCCTACGAATCAAAACTAGCGTTCAAGAAGACAGGTTCTAATTACCGGAGAGTTGAGTGCAGTCAAATTGCAGTGAAAAAAGGCTATTTGTGGAGGAGGCCGAGACACAGATGTGATGATTACAAGTATAAAATGTCTTACATACAGCGTCGTTACTTAGTCAGGCTCTCCTGGAGAAAGGCAGAAAAAAAATGAAAAATTGACAAAACCCCTTCATTTCTCTACTCTGGATAGTATACCTCACAGGCGAATCATTAAGTGCTAGTTATAAAGGTAGTACACAACGAGATTGAGTTACTGCTTTTTACAACTAACAACTAGCTAACAACCCGTTTGCGAAGGTTCTCAAAACGGCTCAACTGTAGTGTTTGTATACGACCTGGTGGACCTGCTGTCATATAAAAATGGGCGCTCGGTAGGCAAAATGGAGGATGTTTTAAGGTTCAGGTGGCCGTAGGTAGTTCTTAGAGGACCCGTGACAACTAAGTAGCGGCTAAGCTGAGTGCTTTACGCCTGAACAGTAATTCATCTGGGGGAAATTAGATAAACAATCATAGAAAGGGAACCTTGCCAGTACTCCTAGACTCATATGCTTCCCTGCACCCAACATTGGTGGGCGGATAACTTTGACTGACCTGTAATGGGACGGCGGAGTTAAAGTGAGTAACGAGCCGACTCCATATGTTGAATCGCGGAGGAACGGCAGCAAATATTGTCAACGTTCGGCTAAAGGATCTCTAAGGTGCATGATGGTTCCAAGTCGGGTAAGAAAAACGAGTGTGCAGTTGACAAGCAAGTATAGGAAACAGTACACTTCTTCGCAAATGCTCAGCAAGAAAAAACCTTCAGTATTGAAAGGTGAAAACTAAAAGAATGGCAACGATGCAAAAAAAGCCTGAAAGCAAGCATTATAAGTGACAAAAATCTGAAAAAAGAAAATTCAAAATAATCAGACAAGTAAGTGACATTCCAGATTCTGTTGAAATGCACTGAAAAGGAAGAACCCGATTAGTTTCGCAGCATATTTGGAAGGCATAGAGTGCGGAAGGTCTGTGGCAAAATCTTGCGAAAGTACAGCACATGGTTTGTGTCCACTGTTATATATACGAAGACAGCCGTTGGCAAGTAACCGAACAACTAAGGAATGTAAATTGTCAACAAATTAACTGTTGGGTCGAGAGCGAGCTGTGTACAATAGGTAGTCGAGAAAGTACATTTCTTGAGGTTCTATGTAATGGAAGGAGACAGGCTGATGGGCGCAGCAGCATCGAGACTGTGGAGAGGTGAAAGAATAGAGCAATTTGAGCAGAGGACAAGTAGACTTGTGTAGTCAAAATGATTAAATATATTTCCTCACAACTACTCATCAGTAATATAAAACCTGTCCGCATAGCTTCCAAGTCCTATATCGTACATAGGCGCTATACGGAAAGTTCTAGTTCGTGAAGCCACTGCAATCTACACAGTTCATAATTGGCATGACAGTGGAAGATGATCCGGGTTATACCATAGTCAACTTTCAATCACGTAGGTCCGCGGCTGTCACCCATGGCGAATTAGCACTAGCTGCTGGTATCCTAAAGTCATGGGGGCGGAACCAGGAAGGGGTCCGCTGGGAGGCGCACCACTGACGAGACCCAGAAGGTCGAAACGCCAGTGTCTGGTGCTTTTTCAGACTAGCTCAAGCCTGCTGATTGGGAGAGATGATGAATTAGCTGAATTATACCAAAATCCTCACTACTACTCATTCATGATTAAATATCTATCATTCTTACTGTTTATCATTCTTAAGCTAGATTATTAGATCAGAGACGCAAGTTAGGTAGTGCAAGCTCCTCCACGAACAACAAGTCTTAGTAAGGGTCGGAGTTAACAGTCAGTCAGTTAATTTATTAAATTGCCCGTAATAAAAGAGCGGGATGAGACACGTCAAAGAAGAAGGAACTCTAATAGACACCTTGTATGATATAAGCGATGAACCAATGTATGATTGTGCAACTATATGTCATACTGAGCTACAGTTGTGGATTTGTTTGCGGCAAGTTTCAGAGCCACTCAACCAGTGGATAGATGTCATATGAGTGCAGACTTCGCGGCAGACATGTTTAGCATATAGTTGGAGGAATATATACTAGCGGCAAGCTTTGCCATCAGCCATCTGAGTGGAGTGCACGAACAAATCTCCTGAGTTGAATTGAAAGAAGTGAGAACCGCCTAAAATGGTTTGAGGCAGTATAAAGTCATCATCAGACATCGTACACCAAATGGCTTGAGAGTTGCTTCATTTGCTGCATTCATAACAGTGAACAGCGTTCTCCGTCTGCTAATATCGTCAAGAAGCTGTTGTATTCCCTGTATCCCAGGTTACAAGGGATGTAAACGCGAAGGCGCTGAAAGCGCAAGTAACGTTCGAATCCCTAACAGAGGCGACAATTCAGTGTTCACGTAGGACATTAAGCGAGCGATGACTTCTAACAAATGATGAAAATCGCTATGTTCCGGTTGGAAAAACCTGGAGTCCACATGGCAAACTTGGAAACCAGGCGTATTTCCACTCAGAGGATGGGATCCAGGATTGTGCAGTACGGTCTAACTGACTGACACCCTATTAGCCACATTCTATTGGCTACGCGCTGTTGATAAGGCAGCACTGACAATCCAGGAGACAACTTAAAATTTAGGAAAGAAGGGATAGTTTAATCAAGCGAACTGCAATAACTACAACGAAACGCGAACAATGGAAGTTCGAGGAAGGAACTATTACAAAAAGTAGAGCCGATTGGTTTTCACAGGACACGTTAGCAAGCAAAGATTCGCAACATCGCTAGATTAGCCCGGCCAGCCAATGGGACAGTCATTCACGAACTGTTAAAAACAGAGCAATTTGCTACCGGTAAGTTAGGTAACCTCTACTGGATGTAGCGAAATTTCGGGGGTTCCGTGGGACACATCCGTTCACACAGAACCTTACATCCTTCGGTGACAAGCAACATATTCAGCAATGTCGGAAAGTGTATCAGTAGATACTCTCACTGCCGATTAAATTCATCCGTTGACTCAGACAAACAATGTGAAACTCCTTGTAGCGCACCCGAATATCAGTTAACCAGCGGGGGCCATGTAAAATGATGACTACACATGCATCGCCCAGTGACCGAACTAATCATGTTTGCCTCTAACTGGTTGTCTGGCTTGTTTCTTAGATCCAGCTGTTCACTCTGACCTGACAATCGCAACAGACTCGTTGTAGTGGACCCATTTTCAAACATGAGCTCAATACTGACCTATTTGTTTAAGGCTGTCGGAATTGTATCCTACTGCAGACTGAACTGACCGCACCAGCGGATAACAGACTAACAATATCCACATTAGACAGCTCGAGCGAATGAGTAGCGTGAGGCGAACATTATTTCCAGCGCCAAATGCTTGCGTTCCGCCGGTCATTCGAATCTACGAAGATGAAAGTGGTGACGCAATTTCACCGGCTTCTGCATGGTTGAAACTCCAATTATCCAGTTTTCTTTGTGACTACGACTCATGAATTGTGTGGTCATCCGGCTGCGCACTAATCGCAGCTTCCGAGTGTCTCACTTACTCTATATACCTGCAACAAAGGTTCCACAAAATCATTTGCCGTTTCCGAATTCGACACGCCTCTGTGCTCCATATTGAGTTGCTGGTGTTGTTGTAGTGAATTATACTCACAAAATCCAACGTAACACCGTGTGCCAGAAACGAAAGCTAACCTCATCGGCTCTAGTGCCCGTAACCATTTTTGTAAGCGTCGTGATGTAAACAACTGGCGGGGACACACAGCTTCGGTTCTACACACATTCGCTGATGTATTAACAAAGATTTCGGCCATTTGCAATCATTCAACTCCAATTTACCAGTACCACCAATACAGTTAAAGGATTACTTAGCGAATGCTCAACCAATTAATTACTGGGGTTTTAAAAGGATTTTCGCCGAAATCCATGCGCGCAGCAGCCGCATTTTCTAACGCACATCATCATCATCATCATCATCATCATCATCAGCAGCAGCAGCAGCAACCCCACCACCATCATCATCAGGATCATCGGTATATCAGCCATTCGAACTGACGCTTTGGTGCCATACAACCATGATGACCTAAGGAATAAAGAATAATAAGAGGGAGAGAAGGGGACTCACCAAAAAATCTTAATGCCTAAGCAGACCTTGTCAATAACATACCGCCACAAAAGCTGGTTATCATGCAAAGATAAGGCAGCATCAGCAAAACAGCTTACTTGGGACTTTCACCGCCTCGCGTCTTAATCAGTTAGTACCCCGCGGATAACTCAGCACCAAACACACTGTAAACAGACAGTCCGACTGGGAGATGACAGCAGACCCGCCACTAGTACCGACTGCAAGCTATGTGCCGTAAAGTATCGAGCCAACCACAAGGCGGGTCACGTGAACTCCAGCCCGGAAGCAGGGACGGATCATCAGCACCCAGTCTGGTCGTCAGTGACTTCATTCCCCGCTGCCAAGTCAACGTTTGTCCACCTCGAGCCCTGCACCATCCTACACCTAGCAGGCAAAACAAGGCCCTCCTTGGTAAGCAGTGACCGGGCATACGTAGTACGTGTCCAAGACAAGGAAATAGCTTGGTTGTCACACCCTAGTACTCGCCTACGCACATCATCGCTGCGGAAACGCCGATGCCATCTGACACCAGCAATGCTTCGCAGAGAACGATGATCAAAGACTTGAAGGCGCCACAGGTCCTCATACCGAAGAGGGCAAGTCCCGCTTGTCTACAGTAGGATTGCCTTCACTGTGGCCTTGTATACACGGCCTTCTAGACGGAGCGAAACTAATTTATGTGACCAATGATGTCGCAGATCCAAAAAGGGCAATAGCATCTGTAATGTGTGGACTGGTCTCAGTTGCTATGCACCTATCGTTGCTGATGCAGCTGCGAAGTTACATGAGTGGATCAACTACCTCGAGTTCCTCGCCATTAAGGGTCAAGGGGTCGTCAATTGGATGGTGGTCCTGTAACAGCACTTTGCACTTTGAAGGTTCGAAGCACATGCAAACTGATGGGACCACACTAGAGGGGTTATCCAGGGTTGATTGCGCTGCCCCAAACATCGTTAAAAAGCAACACAATATATTTCGCATAATCAAGATCAACTAGCTTTCCACTGCTCAGCAACGCAATGCCTGCCTTACGAGGCTCCACAAGGGAACACTCCATGATGGAGTCCGCGATAAAGTTGAACAAAGATGGGGAAATTGGACAACCCTGACGAAAGCCACTTGTTCTCGGAAATCTATCCGACAGGTCACCGTAGATTCTGACGCGGCCTGTAGGGTTCGAGTATAAAGCGCGTAACATGTTCACATATTTCGTGGAAACACTATGACGCGCAAGTATTCCGAATAGAATGCATCGGTCGATCGAATCGAACGCACTCTTGAGGTCGAGGAACACAACAATTGCCGGCCTGTGGTGCTGCTCTAGCACCTGCCATAGAGTGAATATGTGGTCCATACAATACCCTTTTGGGAGCAAGCCTGTCTACTCTTCCTTAATCCCTGATTCTCGGTCCTCAGTAAGGCAACGAAGGAGATTCGAGGCCAGTACTTTTGTCACAACTGGTGTCAGGCTATTACTCCTACAGTTAGCACAATCGGTGCGACTATGCTTCTTGTAGATCGCCACTATAATTGATTAGTTCCAGTTAGCAGGCATGACCTCTGCCTTCCAGATATGTTCGAACAGGGATGTCAATGCTTTGCAGAGAACCTCCTCACCATACTTAGTGAGGGTTTGAACGAATCCGGGCCAGGAGCACGAAAACGATTAAGGGCTGCTGTCGCCTTTTGGACCCCAGTCTCTGATGCAGCCTCTAAACTAACTGACCGTGGCTTATCCTGCATCACCTGGGTAGGAAGAGGTGCAGAAGCAGGGGGTAACTGAAGTGCTGTCAAAAGCGCTCCGCCAAACGAGCCAAACGGTGCTTCTTATTGTGAATCATGGCACCCGCGTTGTCTCTGATTGGCTCACTGACGTCTGGTTTCTTAGGACCAGTGGTGCAGATCCGCTGGAAGAGTTCGCGATAATTGCCTACTGCTCCTGCTTCCTCCATTTCTTGAGCGCGAATGGTCCACCAGACTTTCTTCTCAGCACGAAGACTCCGCTTTAGTCCGCCTGGTCACATTGTGCTCGGAGCCAGCCGAAAGTATTTTCTGGTTTGCAACAGATTCACCGACTCCTCGGATATCCAGTGACTG